CTTCTGCATACAGGAAACATTTTCACACGGTGGTGTTGAAATCCTTTCCTCAGCTTCTGCCCAAATAAGGCAATGCCAGCAGCCTTTGCTTCCTCCGGTAAGACTTTCAGGAGCTTGCTAGCCACAGACAGAATAGCTTTTGCACCAGAGCAAGGATGCGTTGCTCCAGACGCCCCATTTGTCTTCACTTCTCCCCCATCAAAGCATGTCCCTTACTCAGGACTACATCCATGTCAGGTTTCATTTGAGAACAAAAGAATGCCGTAGGGCTTTCTAAAGAACAAAAATCAGCATAAATGCATGTGGTTTTCTCCTGGTCAGATGATAGATTTTGAAGAAGGAGACAAAGGGAATTTTACCAAACTTGCCCTGCATCATAAATCATTTCTGAGCTAAGAGTAAGTAGGGCATTTCAATCCCCGGCACTGTCTCTTCCAGGATGTTTCAGAGCGCCTGGAAATGCTCCTCTACACAGCACAGTCCCAGCCTCATTTTGTCACCATTATTTTTGTGACATGAAGATCTCCCCAAAATGCAGAGGAATGAAGGAAGCGCTCTGCTGTGACAGAGGCACGACTGAACATTACGTGTGTGAAGGGGGAGGGCTTTACCGTCAGCAACCCTCTGCCGCACACCACCACCCATCTTCGGTGAGCAGACAGGGCTTGGTTTGTTGAAATATCCGTGATTACTTGGGTGAAACAGCACGGTCCCTGTGACAGACACTTCTTCCAGTGCTTGTGAGATGGCAGGTTCCCTCTGACGCTCTCCCCCACTACCTGCATGGACCCAGTTTACCAGACAAGCTGTATTATCACATCTGAATCAAAACTGGAACGAGCAGAGGCCGTTACTACACTTCACTTGCCTGTCCCACAGGCTGCATCAAATCAGCCAAGGAAAAGTCCTGCGGGGGGGGGGGGGGGGGGGGTGTAGGATTGCAGGCGTTGCAGAGCAGCACCCCGTGCTTGGCCTGCTTCCACCGTCTTCGGGCAAATGTTTGGCTTTCTTCTCTTATTTTCCCAGGTAGAGTGGTGAGGTGCTGGAGCGCTAACCCAGTTGCCCTTTTAATAGGCTCACAGACAGCCCCCTGTTCATCCCTGCATCCCTCCCTCCATTTAACAAAACGCTAATAAAATGGCATGAAGATTTCTGCCTCATTCTTTAAAAAAAAAGTGGAAGATGCGTTCCAGCCCCAGCTACCCAGAGAGAAGTTGCAACAGGCATATAAATAGATTTTTAACCCCAAACCTGACTCCTCTCATACAAGCTTTATTATGCAGCTATCGCCTAGCTATCGTCTAGGAGGCAAAACTCGCCTTCCTTATTTGAGTACAATTCCCAGTTCTCCCAGTGGGATCCACGCCTGCGAAATGGCTGCACCAGGCAGGTCTAACACCAATTTGATTGTCACACCCCGGTCCTGCAGTAGCTAAGGACTTGCAAACATCCCCAAGAATGTCTGACACACATTTAAAAGCAAAGAGCCCTTGTGAAGCAGGACAGGGGGCAAAAGAAGTCAGGGTTTCAATGCAAAAAGAAAAGAGTTTCAGAAAGCATTTGCTGGACGTTAAATCCAAAATCAGATTGGGTGAAGTGAGCCTCTTCTGGTTAAAAATAAGTCCCAAATCCAGATCATTTTCTAGCATATTATGCAATTAAAAAAAGAAAAGCAGGGGGGAGGGAACAAGCTGAGCGGAGCTGAGGAACGGGTAGGCTGCCATCCAAGCTCCTTGGCCAGCTGCCAGCGATCCCCGCGCCTGGAATCTCGGGTGAACAAAACCTCTGAAATTTAGCACTACTGCCGAAGTCTGGTTTTTCTCTGCTCCCTAGTGTCACTTCCATGGACTACTCCAGAGCTGTGCACGTGGGTTTGGGGTGTGAGGGGGGGTTTGCTGTTCGAATGTTCATGACAGACACGCTTCCTTCCACTTCGGACAGATAGAGCGAGAAAGGGAAGATGGGCTAGCAAGAATTGAAACCCCTGCCCAAGTCCAGCACGTTTTCAAAGCAGCAGTGGGTTAGGAGGAGAGATAGCAGCTTTCCGTCCCTTCCTACTATCTCCACCCCCTGAAAGAAGACAGGCTCTGTCCTCAAGACATACCAATGCTCCTTCCGCAATGCTCTATTTAAAGGAGACATTTTTAAATGGCTCAGAGACTACGAGAGTTTTGAAGTTTGTCAGGCTCTGCGAGGAATGTATAAAAGTATTCACTGCACAAAGCAAACCTTTTTCCCCATGATAAAGAAAACAGACCATTTGGACGGCCACACTCCGTTCCCTGTGCTCGATTATTGATTATTATTCTCAGGGGACATCGGCAGGCATTTTGAATGAACCCAGTTGAGCCTGTTTGCATCCAAGATTGAGGTGGTGGTAGTGAGGACATTTTTTAAGCTGACTGGAAGAGCTATGGGATGATCGTTAGTAAACACAACAATAACCTCGCTACGTCATTTTCCAGGAAGCTTAGAAACCATTTAAGGTTTCCTGTATGTATGACTGTCAAGCTTTCACATCTCACTCGATCTTCACGTAGCTTGGTTCAGAGCTTGTCCTTTTAAAAGATGAAATAGATCAGGCAACTCCCAATTTCACCTACTGGCTTTTCAGCGCAGCTTTCAGTTTCCTTTTCCCCAGAAATGCTCTCTGAAGCAAGTTTAACTGTTAAAGTGGCAAAGCAGGATGCCAGCCTAAGCAACGGGGTTTTATTCCCCAAAACAGGGGGCTCAAATGAGCACCTCTAGACTCTCAGCTTTATAGAGTTTTATTTTATCCCCTTTGCCTCTGGCACACAAAGGGGAATTGTAAAAACATTTTCCTCCAGTTTCCATAAATCACTTTATTCATGCTAAGCAAAGCAAGGGGGAGGTATCTTTTTAGACCAACTGATAGAGTTGGTAAAAACAGACGGCCTTGAGGCTTGCAAGCCTTTCTCTGGATCTCCAAAACGTAATTTTATAGTTTCTGGCCACCACAGCTTAAGATGACATTGCCTGTTTGTTCTTTACAGTTCAAACATCTCTTCCCTCTTTCAACCAACAGTTTCATACCTACATTAAAGAGATCAATTTTGTACATCTTAAGATACTGAACAACATTTGGGGAAAAAAAAAAAGCAAGCCGTACAATGCCAACATTTGATCTGGTTCAGTTCTGTTGATCTCAAAAAATTTGCTCCTAGCCTTTCCAGCCAAAGCTCCTGCTGGGAAAATGAAAACACCAAACTTACAGATCGGGTTGGCCAAAGATCAGTACAAAATGAGATTTACTCACACCCTCCCAAGTGTCAGAAGACAGAGTTGGCCTACCAAGTCATACAGCCATAATGGGGACAGCCAGACAACAGCAACCCACCTAAACGCAAGACTGGACAGGCAGCGACAAAGGGTCATGTCCATGGAGGGTCTTTCGTGCATCTATTCTGGCTGAGCAGCAATCCCAGCCAGATGTATTTCTGCTGCATTTCCATCCATCTGCCAGCGAACGTCATTCTGGGGCCAAGCATCAAGAGTTGAGATGGGACGTCGCTTCGTTTTTGTTGTTGTTTTAATAAAGGGTGTTGCAGGGTTTTGGTATGCAAGTTAGTTTTCAATGTTACTTAGGTATGTGGAACCAGAAAGCTGAAGAAAGGCAATGGAAAAACTGCATTTATCCGGGGATTGGGACGGGGGGAGTTACTTGGAGATCTTCCCCAACATTATCGACCAATTGGCTCCAGCTCTGGAAGACCCAAACCCAAAAGCTGAACCATTGTTGCTGAGAAAGATTCAACTTGCTTTTTGCCCATTTAGGGCGATTGCACGCGCCTCAGAGCCAGAGAAACCGTAGCATTGTTTGGGAGTTGGCTTTTCTTAATTGAAAAACAAAAGTAATATATATTTTTTTCATTTGTATGCCATTTAGCTTCCTTTTATTGGCTC